AAACCATTAAGTTGATATACTTGTAGACTGGTCTTACTGCAGCATAAAATTTTGATGTTTAAGCCTATTTCTTGATTTTTTTCGCCAATCTTTCAGTTCACCAGTATTACCGTATTACTTTAATATTCATAGAATTATATCAAAGCAGCTTTTCATTTTCATTTCCATTTCTTTTTTTCTTCCCCTTAATTTCAACTAGGAGCAACAGGGTTAGGGAAGTATGCCAATCAAAAGTGTCCTTCAAACAATCATAAATTACCGAGTCCAGAAGACAATATAAGAACAAATTTAAAACTACAATGGTGTATTAAAGTGGCTGGTGGTGGAAAATCGAGTATGTGCATAAGTCAATGAGAATTGTTAGTAGATGCAGAGCTTTTAAAAGATAATACACTAAACACAACCAAAAAGCTTCATATGAACTTCATCCGAATTTCAAATAGCCAAATAAATACCTTTCGCAAAATAAGGCTGTTTGCCCTATAGATGGCCATTTCTCCTGATGTAGCACTGTGATATGGATTACCTTTAGGTACCTAAAATAATTTCAATACAAGTACCGGGTGAGATCCAGAATCAACTTTCAGATCATGCATGCATGAAACAGAGAAGAAGTCATCGGTGAGACTAGCCAATAACAGTAGGTGATTGGACGCCAACAGATAAACTTGCAATTGCCCAACAAAAATAGTACGAAACTCTTCTCCAACTATTCAAAAACAAAATTCAGAGAGTGGAAAGAAAGCAAAGAGTGACTGAAGAATTAACATTCACTATTTATATGATTCCCTGATAAGAGGATCTAGTTTAGCTTGTTCAAATACCCCTAGGATTTATACATATCACATGACATAAACAAACAATTCGTTTTCCTCTCTAATATAAATATTTCCATATAGAATAATCAAAATAATTAAGCATAACCTTAGTAAAAATACCTTAGCTGCATCTTCAGGATTGTTTTTCACAGGTGCATAAGCAAACCAAGCCTCCATCACCTGTAAGGTAACAATAACTGTCATGATACTAGCACAGGAAATACACAGCGTTAGAAAAAAAGGATAAATATAATTAAGACAGTGAAGAGAACAAAGGATGTATGCTTGCAGTAAATCCAACTCTAGCAGAAGGTGGCAGAGTTTTTGGGTAGTCTTGCATCATACATTCAAGCCGAGTAGATGATTTGAAGGCAGTTTTGGTAGAATCTTTGTATCTGAAGCAAACGAGAAAATAATTAGTGCCTAGTAACCTAGGATACAAACAACTGGGAGCCAAATAAGGAAAGTCAGCATTGATCATCATACAAACAATCTAGGAACAAAATTAAGATGATTTGAGAGAAAGAGTTTACTTGGGGTTAACAAACTCCTTTATGGCACCTCCAGTTTTTGAAAGTTCCTCCAAATAAGGGCCGATTTCGAAAATCAACTGAATAAATAAAAAGTGTGACAGTCAACCCTAAAACACAGATACAACATAGGCAACACTGAGAATATCAGGACACATAATATGTCGTATTAAGACTTGTCTCCTGGTCGTCCATGACCTCATCAAACTTTACATGCATTGGACTCCTGTAATGGCATTCAGCCCCAGATTGCTTCTCACTAGAAGTGTAATGTCCCATTTATTTGTGTATTATTTGAGAATATTATTATTATTATTATTATTATATTTTTTTTATGATAATATTTATATTTATATTTTTCTTGAATGCCTTAGTATTATTAAATCCCTAAATATGATTAAATGCTAATTGTCTAATTGTCTAATTGATTTTCGTGATTAATTATTAAATGAGAAAAATGTGTATTAATATATGTGAAATATATTTATAGTTCGATTTATTTTTATCGTGCGATCGATTTGAACTGTCGAAATTAGTGATTGGAGAACCCGAGCTCGAGAGTTAGATTTATTTTCGTGTGATTGAATCGGGCCCGAGAGACGAATATATTAGCGTACGATTTTATCGAGCCCGAGAATGTTCGAGTGAATCGTAATCGAACCCGAAAATGTTTGTTGGAACCGAAATTGGGCGCGAGAATGTCCGTTTGGAACGAAATCGAGCCCGAGTATTCCTGTGTGTTCGGCCCGTGAGCAAAGTCAACCCATTATTATTATATAGATACAAATATTGTATATATCTCTCTCATATGATCATCTACAATACATATCCGAGAATCACTCCCAATAATGTTGTTCCTTCTTCTTAAATCATCATCTTGATCCAATCTCAGCACATGTTTTTGTTCTTGATAATTTGACCCTCATCATCTTCATCTTCCTCGTCATTTCATCATCATCTCTCCTCGCGAAGCTTTTCTCGGCAAAACTCCTCCTCCTTGCACAGGCCGTCTGGGAGCCACTTTTTCCGGTGAGCTGCTGCCCTTCGCCTCCGAGCCCAACTTCCCGACGAGCCCGTGAACCAGCGAACGGCGACCCGACGTCCGGTGACCTTGCTGCGACAACCGACGAGTTAGCAGCAGCGACGCCTTCTCCCTTCCTCAGCGACGAGCTCTTCTTCCTCCGACGAACCCAGCAGCATTTCCGGCGAGCCTCCTCCGCAGCGACAGCAGCAACTCCGGCGAGCCATCGCGAGCAGAAATCCCTTCACGCCGTGAGCACCTCTTCGTGATCTTTGTTCGTGAGATTTTCCGGCGAGTTCGATCTTCCTTCGAGCAGCAACTCCGGTGACTTCCAGCACTACGAGCTCTCTTCCTTGCGAGACGAAGCTTGCCGTCGAGCAACCGTCATTAATCGCGAGCTCACCGTTCGTCTCTTTTCGTTTCATTTTTCCGAGTTCCGTTCGGCCGAGCCGTCGTCCGGCCCGTTTTTCCTCCGTTAGCTCGTGAATTTTCGAGAGTGGGTAACTATTTCGAACCCTCTCGTTATTCCGGTCGTATTCGTATATTACATGATAGATATATATGTATATCATACGTGTTTCCGAATTCTTGTTTGAAGTC